TAATGATTGTAATAAAGAATAAAAAAATTAAAAATAAAAAAAAAATTTTGAACTTATAGTCCATTTTTATATTTATCGTTTGATACCATTTTATAGATATTTAAATAAAAATTCGCAGTGTAACCAATAAAATTTTCTACTAAAAAAGTCATAACTTTTTATAGAATAGTCCGATTTTCATTATATTTTCACCTTTAAAATACTGTGTTTGAAGGCTTTGTAATAATATGTAATATTTCTAATAATATTTAACATTACATGAGTCGAAAAGGCTCGTTTTTTACAAGAAATAATATTTTTCTGCAATATACCTTTCAAAGAGATTAAATTTGTTTCTTTATTTTGTTGCATGATGCTTTCAACATCATGATTAAGTGACATTTTAAAATTATACATGACGTATCTGACGATGTTTACTACTAATTGTATACAATTCTCAAAAGGAGACGTTAATTTCAGATTAAATAAAACATCTTAAGTAATTGAGAACAACAGAGAGCACGGATTATAGTATAGTAAATAAAAATTATAGTTAATTGACAAATATTATTTAAGTCAATGGCAACGACTGTTTTAGCTGCTATTTCTAAATTTATAGATTTCTTATTTTAATGCGAAATTAAATGATGTTTCAACTCTTTTTATTACAGAATTAAGTTCTAGCCTGACTTAAAATTTTATGCATTAGGAAGATTATACTGCATTAGTAATTTTTTTATAAACTCGTTGGTATGTTAACATCTTGGTATCAATTCACTCATGGGTTTGTAATAGTCTTCAACGAATTAAGCCGTAGTAAATAGGATATTTATTTTACCAATTTTTTTTTCTGAGTTACAAAATGTTGTAAGTATAAAATAATAATATAATTTATAAGCAATTTATACATGTGTAATTATAATATATAACAATTAATATTAAGTTTTTTAATATATGTTATATGTTTTTAATTTATAATATATGTTATTAATTTATAATAAATATTACAATCAAATGTATTGCATAGTATAGATCTACGGTTGCTTTTTTTTGTTGTTGTTTTTTTTTTTTAAAGAGGAAGAAAGCTTATTTTTTTCGATGAATACAAACAGATTTTAACTTTTAAAATTAAATCCCAAAATAATTTAAAAATTTTTACTCCTTATTTAGTTTGGCATCAGTTGCATTATTTCCTTTCTGTAACCAACATTGCAGTTTTCTGATATTTTTTATTGCTTACCACAACATCCCACAAAAGAATGACTTTTCGAGTAAATATTAGCAGCCGTAGTGTAGCGGCTAAGGTACTGGCTTTTAATAAAAGTTTCCATTTTTTCCATGAAAGCGATTTCTGGATCTTAGATGAGAAAATATTTTACTTTTACAAATTTAAAATTATTGTATCTCTGTTTCTTTAATGTTGTTAAGAGAATCACGAAGAGAAACCTTTAAGAGAGTGCGATAAGAAAAATACCATTTTTTAGTAATTTCATTCTATCAATATTTTTTCAAACGTAATTTGAAAAAATAATGATAGAATGAAATGTATACCGGAATTCCGTTGTGCTCTTTGTAATTTGGTTAATATTATTGATATTATTGATATATATGATATTATTAGGTTGATATTTATATTCCTTTGTTCGTATTTAAATACTCTGTAAATAAACAAAGATTCAAAAAATATTGGATACAATAAAAATATTGGATACAATAAAAATATTGGATACAATAAAAATATTGGATACAATAAAAATATTGGATGCAATAAAAGTATTGAATTCAATACTTTTAGACAATCCTTATTTATTTACAGTATAAGATAATTGTTTTTATACTGTTCTAAAAATTTAATAAATTTTAAAACAGTAAAAAAAAAATATTTTTATTTAACATTAGGTATAGAAAAACTATAGGTAGCTACCTATAGTTTTTCTATACCTAACGTTAAGTCTACGTAGACTTAAATGAATTTAAGTCTACGTAGACTTAAATGAAAAATAAAACATTCTAAATGAACGCAATGTAATTTTGATTACAATAATCAGTTATGTAAATAAAAGGGTTAAGTTCAAACTTTATATATGACTGTTAAACCAAAACCTATACATTTTTTAAATGTGATATGAAAAGTACTTAAGGTATGTATGGTACACTAACAGCTGTTACTCACTGCACTCAACATACACTCACAGCGCACTCACTGAAGAACAAAGATTTATATAATATTTACATAATAGATTCTTATATTCTAGTTAAGAATTTCTGAAAATTTATGAATATTATGGTGTAAATATATGAGTTGCTCTCCTGTTTTGGGCTACAACCCAGGCTCTTTTTTCATTTAAAACATTATCTGCACCATAAATATGAATAAATAGATGAAGCAGGAACAGAAAGCAATTTTCTTGCTATACACTATATATGACTTTCTTAACAGCACCCATTTGAATATTGCTTCTTTATTTTCCCATTTTTCTTTCTTAGCCATAAATTTATCTATTTCTTTTTATTATCTCTATTTTTACTTTATTCAAATAAACTTTCTTTTCTTATTACCTTTAGGGTTATTTTCTCAACATAACGTAACAAGTAAGAAAACTTTTTGCGATTTTAATTCTTAAATTTGATGCAAATGAAGCTGATTTAGATGGCTGACAATCTTTATTGGTTGTAAAGAATTAGCACTATTGGAGAAATATAAACCAAGTTTCTGTAATATTAATCGGGTCATGAGTCTCTTTTTATAATTTAATTTAACTTTATATTTCGGACAAAAGCCAACTTTTAATCTTGTATTTTTCTGATTAGGGAAAAGTAACAGATTACTATCTAGATAAAAGCGTGTAATCATGGGCGCCCGTAGTATAAGGTTTTTGGTTTTAAATGAATCGCATCGTGCAAAAATATAAACTTAGGTATGTTCATGTTAATGCCAAATAAGGATGGTTTGCAAGAAATCGTGATGACGGAGGCCTGAAAAAAAAAAGTAAAAATGTTCTCCTAATCAAACATAAGATTTCTTATTTTACAATTAAGAGGACTTCTTACAAAATAATATTATAATAAAATGTTTAAATAGTAGCTTAGGTGCTCAAACGGTATTTAAATGTGTTTATTCAGAGTGGGTAAACGTAAATTTGTTATTTTATAAGCATAAAATTATTCGTTATTTAAGTTTGAATAGTAGAATGTCTAATGCGATTATTAAAAAACGCTTGGATTCTTATTATAAACATGCATCATTTGGATCTATTGAATCAATGGTTTCTTGGTGTTTGTGGCCATGCTTAGCGCTGTATCCAATATATATTTCATTTCAGTTGTCTAAAAAGTTTGAACATCATCTTGTTGATGGTTGCCTTGACACGGGTTGGTTTTCCTTAAGAAGAGATGTAACAGATTATGAGTGGACTGATTTTCGAGATAATTCAACATTAATTGTTGTTGTCAATCTTTTATACTCTATTTTAGGAAGATTTGTTGCCCTTAATTTTCCTAAAGTCAAGAAGTTTTATTATTCAGTCGCTGGTGCATTTTTAATTTTAATAATTGTGTCTTTTCAAGGGTTTTTGTTATTATGTACAATAATTTTTATATTCTATTTTGTTATTGAGTATCTCAATCGAAAAGCAATGTGGCTATTTGTATTGATATTTATAGTTAGTTTTCACAAAGATACTTGTCGGCAGTACTTATTTTTATTTTTTGGTATTAAAGCTGCAAAAAGTGGTGTTGTTTATATTTCAGTTTTGATGACTATATTACGCATAATTAGTTATGGAACAGAAAAAAATCTAGAAACTTTTTCATTTACATTCACTGATTTTTCAAGCTATATGTTCTATATACCATTATTTTTTCGAGGTCCTTTACTAACATTTGACTTGTTTGTGAAAGATTTCAATCAGCCATTATTGCAAAGCACCGTTGTTACCTTAAAAGAATTTGTTATTGGATTTCTGCGATGTGTCACTATTGGGTTTGTTATTGACATTTATTATCACTACTCATTAGTAAATGCTTTATCAAGCCATCACCATGTGTTACAAAAATTAAATGAAATAGAAGCAGTTGCTGTAGGATGGTCACTTATCATTATGTTTTATGTTAAATATAAAGTGTTCTATGGAATAGCATATGTTTTTACAAAAATTGATCAAATTGAATCACCTTCTCCGCCAAGGTGTGTTTGTACATTGTACACATTTGTTGATATGTGGCGCTATTTTGATCAAGGTCTGTATAGACTACTTCAGAGATCGATTTATTTTCAAATTGGAGGATTACATCGAACATTTTTAAAAACATTATTTGCAGCATTTTGTTGCTTTGGTTTTGTATCTATTTGGCATGGCAATAACAAACAATATTGGTACTGGGGGTTTTTTAACTGCTTCGGAATATGCATTGAGCACTTTTTTTTAAAAGTAATCAAAAGTAAAAGAGGAGATACTTTTTGCAACATGATTGGGTTATTAAATTTTCGAAGAGTTGTTGGTTTCAGTGGGTCTTTATCCATTTTGTCATTGATATATTCAAACTTAGTTTTTGTTGCAAGCATTGAGTCTGCAAACATTATATACCAAAAAATATTGTTAAATTGGTACATGCCTGCTATTTTAATTTTTATATTTTACTTTTCTACTCAAGTTTCTATTGATCTATATTACACCAGCTAGTTTTAGCTTTGATTTATTTGCTGCATTTTAACTGTGTCTGTAATGATATACATATATATATATATATATATATATATATATATATATATATATATATATATATATATATATATATATATATATATATATATATATATATATATACACATATATATATATTTATACATGTATTAGATTTTCTTAAAAATTATTGTTAAGAAAAGATTTGCCTGATACATTATTAGCTTTTTATTCAGTTCAGCCTGCCACTATATATATATATATATATATATATATATATATATATATATATATATATATATATATATATATATATATATATATATATATATATATATATATATATATATATATATATATATATATATATATATATATATATATATATATATATATATATATATAGATATATATATATATATATATATATATATATACATATATACATATATATATATATATATATATATATATATATATATATATATATGTATGTATATATATATATATATATATATATATATATGTATATATTTATATATATATATATATATATATATATATATATATATATGTATATATATATATATATGTATATATATATATATATATATATATATATATATATATATATATATATATATATATATATATATATATATATATATGTATATATATTTACATCTTCGCTTCCAACAAGACTGCAAGCAACCAATATAAGAGTTAGAAGATACTGGAAGAGAAAAGATGAAGTTTGTAGAGTAAGATAACGATTGAAAGACCACTTAAAGTATATATACAAAACTTAAAGTATATACTATACTTTATATATATATATATATATATATATATATATATATATATATATATATATATATATATGTATATATATATATATATATATATATATATATATATATACATATATATATTTTTTAATTATCTTCGCTTCCAACAAGGCTGCAAGCAACCACTAATTAGTGTTGGAAGTTACTGGGAGAGAAAAGATGAAGATTGGAGAGCAAGATAACGATTGACAGACGACTTAAAAGATTGCAAATTATATGAATCAGGAAAGCAAGATGAGGGAAGCGAATTCCAAAGAACTGATTTTCGAGGAAAAAAACTAGACGAGTAAAAGTTTTTGGAGCACTTAGGAACAGTAACAGAAAAAGGATGAGACTTAATTGAATGACGAGTAACACGAGAATAAATTTTAGTAGATGGCACAAGAGACGCTAGCTCTTTCGAGCAGTGCCCATTATAGTATTTGTAGAAAAGAGAAAGAGAAGCAACATTACAACGATGTGACAGAGGTTGAAGGTTGGCTGTAAGAGTAGGTCCTACTATGTTTACAATGTGTTTTTGCACTTTGTCTAAAAGAGGAAGGGCATCATTAGAAAATCCGCCCTAGATATGGCAACAGTATTCCATACAAGGCCGGATTTGAGATTTATAGAGATAGAGAATAGAATCCAGATTAAGAAAGTGACGAGCTTGATAAAGAGAAGCAACTTTAGCAGATGCTAATTTTGCAACAGATTTGATATAAGGTTTCCAAGAAAGATCAGAAGTAAGAGTTAATCCTAGAAGATGAAGGGTAGGAGACTCATCGAGTACATTACCGTTCATAAATATAGGAAGGTCTAAACTATTGCGATAACGATTGGCTGAAAAAAATTAAGTTTTATCTGAATTAAAGTTCACCAGCCACTGTGAGCCCCATGCTGTAACAGAAGTGAGATCCTTTTCAAACTCAGATGCCCCCTGCAAGCAATCAGAGGGAGTTGGCTTCTTATCGTGACAAGAATAAATGGTAGTATCATCAGCGAACAATGCCACCTTAGATGTGAGAATATCTGGAAGATTGTTAATGTAAATTAAAAAGAGTATAGGGCCAAGGATTGAACCTTGGGGAACCCCTGAGGTTACAGAATAAGAAGAAGAGTACTGTCCATCAAGGACAACTTTTATACTACGATTGGAAAGAAAGGATTCAATAATCATAAAGATGTTTCCAGATACACCGTAATAAGAAAGCTTATGGAGAAGACCAGCATGCCAAACTTTATTAAACGCTTTAGAAATGTCAAGAGCAATGGCCTAAACTTCTCCGCCTTTATCTAATGCGCGATAAAACCTATCGGTTATTACTGATAGCAAATCAGCAGTAGAACGAGAAGATCGAAATCCATATTGATGAGAAATTAGGTTATGAGATTCGAGACGAGAGATTAAGTGTTTGTTAATTAAAGATTCAAAAACCTTGCTTATGATAGGAAGAAGACTAATGGGACGGTAGTTAGACAAATCGGGTAGCTCTCCAGAATTTTTAAAAATAGGGATAACAGATGCTGCTTTCCAGCAGGCTGGAAAACAAGACTCTGATAAGCACTTGTTAAATAGCTTTGAAAGGATCGACAACAGCTCCGGAGAACACTTCTGCAAGACTATAACAGGTATGTTGTCCGGGCCGCAAGCTGTAGAAGAGTCTAAGTGGGAAATCACTTAAGATACAAAAGCTGGAGTGATTCGAATGTCGAGCAATGGACCAACCTGTTTGACGGCTAAATCAGGTAGAACACAACTAGTGGCATCAAGTGATGATATTGATGAAATGTTCTTAGCAAACAATTCAGCATTGTCTTTAGGTGAGGTGACAAAGTCTAAACCATACAAAAGAGGTGAAATTATAGATTTGCTTTTATTATTGATACTATTAAAGATTCTCCAGAAGTCACGAGAGTCTAATTTTTGTGATGAAATACGAGATTTCATGATCTGAGAATAGCGAGCTTTGGCATTAGACAAAACCTTTTTACAATGGTTCCTAGCAGTA